ACGGGGGCGGTAGGGGGTGGGGTCGTGGGGATGGGTCCCAGCTCAGCATCAATGCTAATGCTAATGGGCGTTGATTGTGCCATCAGAGAGGGGCTGAGTCCTGTAATTGGACAATTTAGCTTCTCTCGCGTCCCGTTCCCCTCCGTCCCTTTACAAAATCCTCAAAAGCGAGCAATCAGCTCGATTACCATATTTATGTCTGTTTATTTGTTCTCGCTTCGCGATCCGTTTTTGCGTTGTCCGCGCGTCACTTGGCGTTGCGTTGCTCACAGCGGTGTGTCGTCCCTGTCGTGACTGTTACACCGCGCCCTGATCAGAACAGGAGCGGATCCTGCAATTTGGCAACACCGGATTTCCTCCATTTAAAGTTGTGTTAAATAATCGATTCGTGTCCACTGAAAAAAAGAATCCTAAATTTGCGCCAAGAAATATGTTTTCTTGAGTCAAGAATGTTGTCGCTTAATTCAAGCTACTTTTTAGCTTAACCCGAACATCTTTCCTCTTCTCTCGAGAAACATTCAGCTTGATTTCAGATAAAAAAAAAACTCTTGGCGGCAAATTTGAAAATCATCAGGCTTGAGTCAAGCAATTTTTTTCCATCATCGGAGCACCTGGCCCCTACAAGAATCGATACATTTCCATACGTTTAAATGGAGAAAAAACAATGTTGTGACTTTGCCGGATCCGCTAATGGATCAGAGTGAGAGCAGAGGAAATTGAGGTGTGAATACTCACTACCGTGCTAAGGAAAAACGCCGTATGAGCCTTTGTCAGTTGCAACATTTCTTTTGATTAAACACGAATTTTCACAAATTTTCCTCGTAATTCAATCTAAATTATCTGGAAATTTTAAGAGAAAACATTCACAACATCTTCAGAAATCAAAAGTTCATTACAGGAAAGCTGCTCTCGAATGTTCATACGGCCGTTTTTCCATTAGCGCGCCAAAATAGGCGTCAGAGCCAAAATCTGTTAATACAGCTGTGAGTGCGCCCCATCACCTGTGACTCCTGAAACTGGTGGTGGAAAAATTAAACTAACAACTTGCATTTTCAAGAGGATGTAAATTTTAAATAGGTAACATTTATATACTGTTGATATTTTGGATTGTGATTCCGTGCTGGAGTCTACGTAGCGCCCAAAAACTCCGAGTGATATAAATGCGGAGCGGAATCTATTATATATCTATTATTATCTACATTATTATCTATCTTATTATCTATTATTATTATCTATATTATATTCT